GGGGGGGGAGGGGGAAAGTGTGTTTCGTATATAGAAGAAACGAGATAATAAACGATACATGGAGGGTGGGAAGGGTGGAATAAGAATAGCATCTGTAATTTTATTCTTCCGGACCAAGGATGCTCAGTGATTGCGGGGAGCGATAGATTCGACGTCTGTCAGACCCCGAAATAGTTAGATTACAATTAAAATGCGGAGAGCTTGTCGCTTCGAACGATACTTTACCGCATATAGCGGTTACCTTCTCTTTTTCTTCCATTACAACGTTAGAAAAAATACATTCAGTAAAAAGTAAACCTATCTATAATATAAATAACGTATTTCTATGAGAAATATTACTTAGCGGAACATGTGATAAGCTCGTTCGTCCGTAAAAATATAAAAAAAAAAAAGGAAAAGAAATAGAGGAAAGACAACAACGATTTAAAAAAAAAAAAAAACGAAACAACATCGATCGAAGTAATGATTCTTAAAATCGTCGATTCAGTCAAAAATTCGAAACTTGGTTGGTTCGTCGTTCGAAAAGGCAAGCACTCCGCAGAACAATATTCAACATTTAACAATAGCCAACATTTATAGAGTAAGATACCGTATTTTGTTTTTTTTCTTTTTTTTTTCTTTTTTTTTTTTTTTCTTCTCTTTAAGTTATTCGTAGATCGTTTCGTATATTCGTTCTTCTTTTGTTTCCTCCACGATCCGTCGATCGTATTATATTCCTATAGTTGACAGAGGTCGCTGTTACAGGTCCGCGAGGGCAACAATAAATATCACGCGACGAGAATTAGTCCCTCATGATTTTTTTTTTCATTCTTCTCTTTTCTTCTTTTTCTTCTTTTTCTTCTTCTTCTTCTTCTTTTTCTCCTCTCTCTTATTTAAACATATTTTGTACGTACCAGTACAGTGTTTCTCAAAATTACAAGAAAAATAATCTCGATGATATGTCTCTCGTTCCAAAAGGATACTTATATTGCTATCGTTTGCACGTGGACGCAAGTTACAGGACTCCCAAAAATCGTCACGCGATTTTCCCCTTTGTACCTGATTGATTATATCGTCAGACTATATCGCATTACCTTCGTCCTTCTTTCAATGATTCTCGACAATGCTTTTGGAAGATGAAACTCACGCCTCGCTAATTCTCGTATTCTTATTAATTGACGAAATTCCTAGCAACGGTTAACGCTCGAAAGAACATAAGGCTATCACAACCTGTATATATATATATATATATATACAATACATATATATATAGAGCTACGAAAATCAGATTAATCGTTACTTCTTTTCCCATCTGTTTTCGCGTTATTTTTCTCGATTATTTTCGGTCTATGAAAACCTCTCCTTGCTTGTTCCTCCATATGGCACCTTAATCGCTTATATGATTATTACGTTCTTTCTTCGCGTCGCTCCGCCCAAGTCATGAAATCACAAAGAACGAGAGTTTTGTTCCCCGAAAAATTGCTCGAAAGAAGAAAAATACATGACAATTTTCCTTTTCGAAAAACCCGTCGACATCCAACATCGAAAATCCGGTGATTGTAAAATTTCTTTATATGAACTATGAAATTTGACTCTTGGCATATACCTCTTAATATAATATTCTCTCTATTCGATCGTGCTTTTGAGAAACACTGATCCAGCGATCATGATTTTAAACAGCTTGACGTTAAACTTTTAATATTGCACAACATCGATAACACTTCGATTTTTTTTTTTTGTCAGGAAAATGTTTTCATACATCTCACAATGAATTATACGATAGATAAAATTATATCAATGTATCTCTCCTTCTCTTGCTTCTTTAAACTCCTCCTCCAAACTTTCTCTTCCTCTTCCTCTCCCCTCCCTTCTCTCTCTCTCTC